TGATTAAGAATTTTGATTATTCAGGATGGAGTCAAGAAAGGAAGCCAGTCATCTTTAACAAAGCATATTAGTATGCTCATATCTCTTCTGGCACTCAAGGATGTTATAACCAAGTTTAATGCACAATAACAGATATATCTACACAAGAACACAAAGTTTATCCTGCTAGTTGGATGGTTTCAAGGTGTAACGATAGAACAGAGGCCAATGCTCCTCATTTATCCTTTGCATTAGATTCACTTAAGATTTTCCAATTAGTCTTTTCCTCTGTGACTCCATACTTGGTGAACTGGTCCTACTTAATTCAAGCTGAATAATACACAAATAATGTTATAAACATTAAATATTCCCTATATCTATAGGAAAAATTAGAGTTGAGCTAAAGGCATACCAACAGTCGGATTGAGGATTAGTTCCTTGTCTTTCTGCTTTTAGTTCAGTTGAGCCATCAATTGCAATAGTAGCCTGTCCATTAATAATAAACATTGTGATGGAAAGAACTGTAGCTGTTTCCTTTCCTCTGCTGAAAGAATTCCCACACTTCTCTCTACTCACAGCGCTGGTTCCTACAAAGATTCAGAGGGGTTGCGTCATCATGATGATTTTGATGTGTCCCTGCTTGTATGCCATAGTGCTGTGCCCTTTGAAGATCAGAGCGAGGCAGACCGACACATGCTACGGTAAGAGTGAAGGCAGGCAGGGAAGACTAACAAGTTGGACAACTTTTCAGGCTTCCAATTTAGAAGATTGGAGGTGCTTACCATGTTAGACAAAAGGTAAGCAGAGACATAGTTTAGTTGTAGTACATTAGTGGATGGATGGCCAGGACTATCCAGGGGAGGGCCATAAGATGTAGAAGGCGCAGGAAATAGCCACAAAGGACAGGAGAAAGGACTGCTATTTAAGCAATGGTCAGAAAAGCAGGGGTTTCATCTAAGCCAAGAAACTAAAAAATGCCTCACACAAGTCTCTCTGTAGTTCAAAGGCAGAAAGAGGGAGGGGAAAAGTACATTCAGACTTGCAAGATACTAATGCTATCGCTAACTGCAATAGAAGTAGTCCTGACATATGTAGCATTGGTTTCTTAGTCTAGCCTACCTTGTTGGGTTGGGTCGACATAAGATTATTGGGTTAGACAGGTTATGGATAACTCAGAGAGCAGGGAAGATGCCTTTTTTCAAATGTTGCTAGGTGATATACTAAGGCTGTTGGTAAACAGGGCCATCTGCGAAAGGCATGACAATTGTTTACCTGTTTCCAGGTTGCAATATTACGTAATCATGACAAGCCAACGGGAGCTCTTCCCTCGACTAACAGCAGACATGCGGCGCTTCAAAAAGCTGCCACGCCTACAGCGAGAGGCACTAGAACCTGTCCTGGGGCGCTCGGCATGGGAGACAGCAGAGGGTGGCCGGCAGCGAAAGGAAGTTCCAGATCCTTGGGAGGAGGTAGACGATCACGGCGAGTTCTATGCAGGTGGCCCCCAGGTCAAGGTGGGCCCAGGACTCTTCTACACTTCCCCACTGTTTCCACTACTTGCCTCTGAGGTTGCTGCTGCCCAGAAACAGCTCAGCACCATGGTACAATGTGCCAAGGGCCACTGTCGCCGGGATAACCTCTGGAAGAGGCTCTTCTTGCTGGAACCTCTGGCTTCTGACAAGCTTAAGCTGGGCAAGCTCTCACTAAGTGAGCTGGAGGAGCTGTTGGATGCTGTGCATAAGAAATCCATTGCTGACATTGATCCGCAGTTGGTAAGTGGCTGAATCAAGGGCACCCAGGGTCAATTTAACGGTATTATTCATTTAGGTTGGGCCCCAGAATAAGAGCAGTAGGCAGAAGCAGGCTATGAGCAAGAAAGGGTATGAAAGTTAAGAGATGTTGACGGCCTGTCTCCATTACAGAAACTGAAAGAGAGAGCACCTTGTGTTTGCCTGGGACCATAAGGATTTGGGGTGGATAGGTTTACTCATAAACATAAGAAGGTCTGTGTTGGTCAAAAGATAGATTGGAGTGATACAAAAGGCTGATTGATCCATCCAACAAGTAGATTGAACCAACAGGATAAGACTTTTACCACGGGATGGCTTTTAGCTGGTATATTTCTTCTATATACATTTTTAAATTTTAGTTCAGATTCTGAGAGTATTCCTTTCTAATTGCATGGTTTTAAGATCTCACTTTGCAGTAATCTACCTGCCAAAGCTAATCTAAGACTGGGGGAGGGTCTTTAAACATAGTATCCAATTGGGTTGCCAGATTCCGTGTTCATACAAATGTGTGCAGCATTGAGCTTCACCTTACAGAAAACCCAGAAGGGGGAAAAATGCTAATATTATTATAATGAGAAAGATTCAATTTCCAACCCAGTGAAATGTTGGAAAGCAAGGAGTCAGAACTCTGGCCACTAGCATGATACTGTAGTCATCCAGAAACTGAGCAAACTAAGACCAAATGCGATATGTTGGGAGAAAGCATCTAGCAAAAGATCCAAGTTCAAAAATGAGTTACATGCATCTTGCAGCTACAGAGAGAACGCTTCAGAAAAGAGTGGGAAGGAATTGGGCAGTGGGTTTGGGTCATGGTAGGTTCTCTTGTCTTCTTCCTTTTGGTAATATGAACTAGAGTGAAATGTATATAGTCCATCCTAAATACAAACAAAATACAGAAATAGCAATACCTATGCACTCATCCTGACACCTCCACGCAAACACATTATTTCCTTACACGGGGAAACATAACCCTTACTATGGCCACTGCTAGTAAAGAATTTCAGAAATCATACTCTGTCTGCCTGTTTCGCATTTTCTGCATGCTGCAAAGGACCTCCCCTCACTTCACCCGTTTTTCCTCTCCCTGGCAGAGCTGCTTCCTCACTATGACTGCCGCCTGGTACCAGAGTCTTATCAAAGTCCTACTTAGTCGTTTCCCACAGAGTTGCCGCCATTTCCAGAATGCTGATGCTGGTACCCAGTACCTGGTAAGACGTTTCCAGCAGAATTGTGCCCTGCTGGACCTTTCTAATTAGCTTGCTGAAGTTCAATAAAAAATAATTCCTGATTATTCAGGAATTATGAACTGGTAATATTTTCACTATTAGAATGACATTTGTATTTGTTGCTTTTTTAGCACAATACACAATGCGGTTTTAGACCAATTTGTATATGTGTGTATACATAAATTGGGTGTTTAGATTTTCTAGGTAATCCCTAATGCCTTAACCATGTTCTCTGTTCCCCGATCCTTCCACTGACTAGAACCTCTTTGTGTGTCATGACTGTAATGCAGCACTGTTGCATTTTCTCTACAGGTTGTTCTGAATCAGAAATTCACAGACTGCTTTGTGCTTGTATTCCTTGATTCGCATTCAGGAAAAACAGTAAGAGCTTTATCCTATGTAATCCTGAAGGTCAAGGGGAAGGCAGTAGAATTTTAGGGTAACTCCATTAGTATGATTGTTTTTAACCACAGAGATTTCTTCTGCTCAGAATTGCAGACCCTAACTCAGGAGTTTGGGGTTTCTTCTTCTGGATTAGAACAACTGCCTGTAAACAGTTCTGATTTTCTCTATGGCCTGTCTTGACCATAACCATATCTGAATCTGTTCTCCAACCCTAATAGGGACTGAAAAGCAAATATATAATATTAGGATATTTTTCCAGAAGTACTCTTGACAGTAGTTTGTTTATTCATTCATTTATCCATCCGCTCTATCCGTCCGTCCAATTTCTATAGCCACCCATCTCAGTCAATGACTATGGATGGCTTAAAATTCAGAAAATATGTGTAACAATACAAGAGCTATGTCTTGTTGGTTTTGCCTTGCAGAGCCTGACAGTGGTCTTTCGAGAGCTATTCCCAGTTCAACCCCAGGACAGTGAAAGTCCTCTGCCACAACTTGTATCCACGTACCACCATCTGGAATCTGTTATCAACACAGCTTGCTTCAACCTCTGGACAGGGCTGCTCTAAAATCAGCTGAACCTTCTGACTGCTCCACAGGCATCTACAACCAGCCTTGAATGGAGGCTGCCCTGACAGGACTGAGATCTGAGGCTGTAGCTTGCTGGATAAGAAGTCAGAACACTGAATCTGACTGGGCCAAGAGGGGGAATCATGAAGAGAGAGCAGTTCCAGGAATTGAGAAAGTAACATGGCTGGCCCACTTAAAGGGGCAGGGGTATCCTTATCCAGAGAAATTGCTCTAGGAGGCATCTGAAGGATGTGCCATGTTTCTGGGGGCTCTTTGAGATGAAAGGCCAAAAGACTACTGGAGTCACTGACCTGGCCAATCGGCTAGAGCGACACTATTAAAGCATAAGGGAAGGGTTCTGCACAATGGTGGAAATGTTTTATATGAAGTGAATGTACAGTAAATTAAATAAATGGATTACATGAATTTATTTATTAAATAAATTAAATGGTTGACTAAGGACTTTGTTACAGATCGTCCAACAGGCTGTTGCATTGATCTTTAGGGAGAAGCATAGTGGATTTCTGCTTTCTTGCCCAACAACTTTCTGTCAAGATAGATGGAAGCACTGCTAGATTCTTACCCTGTTGTTATAGTATATACTGATGTATTCTCTTAAGACAGTTGACCTGGATTCTCATGAGTTCTGTCAAACACTTACCAGGTTTTATGTTACATAGTGGATCCAGCTGTTTTTCTGAATAGAAACAGGACGTAATGCAAGGAAAGGGCAAATTTAAAAAAAAAAAATCAAGGAATTCTTTTTCTAGACCCACCAAGCGGCACTGTTGAGCTAAATCTGGAGTGACATGACTTACTTTCCTTTGGACCAACCTGTTTCCCATTAATTGTTAGCAGGAAGAAAAAGGGATGCCAGCATCTTTGAGAGTCCTTACCTTTGGCCAGTCTTTGTTACTGTATTGAGGATGTGGGGGTACAAATGCTTTGCATCTTTAAAAAAAAGATCAAAGTAGAATACGTAATTGAGAAAGAAAGCTACCAGCAGGAATGTCACTTTATCAGAGAACACTGAGTGATATGATTTTCAGCTTTAATACTCATAACAACAAACATATTGACCATCTTACTTTACTAAGAAATATCCTCCTATTAATGCAAAATAATGGGGTGATTTTGGTATCTCAGGCAGTAGCAAAAGAGTGGGGTTTTTTTTCCCTCTGGTGGGATATATAAATTGTTGCTGTTGGTTATTCCATCTATAATGGTCTTTATTTCATTTTTTTCCCAACTTTTCCCACACAGTGATCTTCCCAGTATGAGTACAGCCAGTTTAATCCATCCAGTGTGTTACCTGCAGAGGCAACCATAAAGACGTACATTAAGCAAAAATAATACTTCGACAACTAACCTCAGTTCTTTGAGGTTGCAGGGCTGGCCAAAGATTCCATCATGCAATAATCAATTTCATATAACAAGAACTTCCCATTCACATAAAGTAAAACTTGCCTTTTGGTTTATATTCACAGCCTATATAACCGCTATAACTCATTGATTCCAATAACTGGAATAAGTAAGGGAAATTCAATTCTCCAGGGCTATCAGGTTCATGTCGTCCTGGTACTTGGGCAATTTGAATATGTCCTACAGAAGAAGACAGTAAACATCAAACATTTCTTATTTGCTCAACCTTATTCTAGCCTTGTCCCCTTAATAAAAAAAAACCTGAAACAAGCAACAGAGCATATCACTCTTTTTAGCTTACCAATAATTGGGAAATACGCCTTTAAATTCTGTGTCAGATTACCATTCATGATCTGGCAATGAAAAATATCCTGCAGAACAAAAAGTAGGTCTTCAGCTCAGGGTATATTCTATCTCCTTCTTCAAACACAATATTGCCTCTGAATTGGGGTGGGGGGGGCAGAAAGTCTCAAATACTAGCTGCAGGGAACAACTGACTGAATGGAAATATCTGACCGGAGTCAGCATGAAAAAGAACACTGTACTTTTAGTGGACTTTGCCCTGATCTATTAAGACTCTTCTCACACGGCCTTAGAAACCAGCAGTTTAATTTTGCAGACTACATAATACAAGTAGTCCTCGACTTATGACCACAATTGAACCCAGAATTTCTGTTATTAAGTAAGACATTTATCATGTCTTACCATTGACTTTGCTTATCACAAGATCGCAAAAGGGGATTACGTGACCTTGGGACTCAGCAATGGTCAAATATGAACCAGTTACTAAGCATCTGAATTTTGATCACATGATCATGGGGATGCTGAAAAATGGTCATTAAGCCATTGAATGGTCACTAAATTAACTGTTATAAGTCATGGACTACCTATACACCCTGCCAGTCCAAAGTAGCATCCAGGAGCCCCCCCCAGTTTTTTTAAATTTTAAATCTAGGTAATCCTCTCATTACAATGGCAATTGCGACTGGGATTGCTATGACTGTCACATGGTCATAAAGTACAATATCAGATGACCAAATGCATCATTTAGCAATGCCATAATGCCAAGAGATGTGGGTCATTAAGAAAGAAGAGGGAATCCCAGGTAAGAAGTGCAGGAGTGCTGGGCTGGGGCTGTTGAAAGAGGTCCTGAAGGGCTGGCATTAGGCTCCATGTGAGATGAGCCTTGGAAGCGCCAGCACCAGCTGCATGTGAGTGGGGAGGGAGGCCTGGGGGAGGGGGCAATTCAGGCTGCAGGCTGGTAGGGGTGGGCTGCAGGAGGGGAAAAAAGCAGGAGTGTTATCAGCAACCTGCGCCCTCCGCTGGCTTCCCGGGTGACTATGGAATTCCTGGGCATCACTAACCAATGAGCAGGCTATTCTGAGTCACATAGCCAGTAAAAGAGCCCAACATTCCCTTTTAAAAAGCATATCTAATGGCACTCACCAGCTGTAGCTTCAAACTGGGGCTTCCCACCTTCTCCAAAATGGCAGCAGCTGAAAGAATACAGATTTAGGTTATCAACTGAGATTATTCTCTACGTATCTCAGCACTACTACAGCCAACTCTAAAGCACAAATGTGTAATTCCACAGGTGGTTGATGTAGCCAATCCGAACATCCTGATGATCATCGTTCTGTTTTATTAGCTTCTGCTACCAAGGACCAACATTATTCAATACAGCATTTCTATCTTCTGCCCTTAAAAGGGTTGCTGGGAATTAGCAAAGTGGGATGGTAGCTGGGAAGGGTTTTAAATTCCTCTCCTCTACCTTCTCAGTACAATCAGGAACTGCTAAGGAAAGAGAACTTCCATTCTCTCCATTCAGTTCTCTGCCTATGAGAGGGAAGTTTCACACGTTGTCTTACCTTGTTGTGGTGTGGTCAAAAAATAATTGGGATCACTAATCTGGTTATTAATAGGCTCCAATAATCCAATCAGATTTTCCTGCAGGGAGACACAAAAAGGAAATCCTAATTTGGAAGTTTTAAGAATAGCGTATCATGGGAAGTTTGTTTTTAGGCTTAAGCCCTTGTGTTTCAGTTTTGCCTAATCTCATGGATAGTTCCATACCCTGTGTACAACTATTTTCCCTTAGTGCCTGTCATCCTGGAAGCTTGGGAATTACAGGTAATCCTCATTTAGCAACCACAATTGAGAGTGGTAACTTGGTTGCTAGGTGACAAAACTGTTAAATGGAAAATCACAAGATTGAGACTGCTTAAAATTTTACTTACACTTTCCTTTTTCTCATTCCCTCACCCTTTGGAATGCTTAATTTCAATGCTGAGATAATTAACAAAAGGGAAATCACATTTGTATTTACATTAGTTGGAGAAGAAAGGATTACAAGAGAGTAAGCAGGAACACAGTGGAGAATACACATTGAAAGGAATGTGCTTGCTTACTATGCAAACAATCTACTGTGAGGGGAAGAGGGAAAAATGGTTCAGGCAAAGGAGAAATTGCCTAAATAGATCACTTGCCCCACCCCCTCTGCAAGGGGGGAAAACGGGTGAGGCACACAGGGACATTGTCTACTAACTGACTGTAAATGGCAAATACATGATAGAGGAGAGAGACTGCAAAGTTGTAAATGTGTGCCTTGGTTGCAAAGGTTTTTATTTTTTTTTCCCCAGCATTATTGTAACTTTAAATGCTGCACAAGGCAATAAGCGAGGTCTACCTGTAATTGGATTATGGCTTTTCTGAGAAGTTTACTCTTGCTGTTCTTTTGATTCTATGGAATTCTTGGAAATTGGAATTCAGGAATGTTTAACAATTCCCAGTAGCCAGCCAGGCAGATACTGGGAATTGCAGTTCAGCAACATCTGGAGAGTGATAGTTTCCCCCCTCCCAGAGAAAATCAATATTAAATAGAATCCTTCCTCTTTCTGGAAGAAGCATGGCAATCTGCTAATACCCCCATTTCCATTCAGTCCATACTTGTTCCAAGATGTCAGCAGCGTATCTGAGGTTTTCAATAAAGGTGGCTTCCATCTCAGTTGACACAGCATCCCTTTTAGCACCTGTAGGAAATCGGCCCGCCATAAGATGGATCCTAAAAGCACAGAGCTGCATCAGTGCAGAAGAAAGGTCAGTCAACTGCTTCTTGTACAAACTAGCAGGGGTAGAAATAAGGGAGAAGTTGTGTCTTTTTGTACTTGGATCAAGATATCTCAGTTGCTGCTACAATGTGACTATGGCAAAAAAAGCTCTTTTATTCCCAGTTTAGTTATGCCCTAAGAGGCAATGATCCATAAAGTGCATTAAACAGTTAGCATATATCACCGCATGCAGACTATCTGTGGGAGCAAGTGAATCCACTTCCTCTTCAATCATATAATTCAGAACTATACAAGATGCAGTTAGTTCATTTAATGTAAGATCGCCTAGCTTCACTTAGATTGGCACACAAATACCATGAACTGTACATATACACTCACTATAGGAAGATTAATGTACCTTTGTGCCATTTAACAAGCAAGTAGGACATATACAGTTGGGTAGGAAAGACTGATTTTCTCCCTCGCCATTTTCATTTCTTGCTTTACAGATAAAGAATAGATTTAATCAACAATGCTATATAAGATTACGCTTGTGTAGTCATATGTGGCAACGTTGATCAGACACTCTACTTTGTAATGATTGGTATTCATTTTTCCCAATCAATTAATATAAAATAAAAGGATGAAGCTATAGCTGCTTCATCGCTTTTTTCTTCTTCTCAACCTGCAAAGAAAAAAGAAATAGTATGAAGAGCACTAAACCTGGGAATCTGTCATTATCAATGACAGATGCCATATATCCCCCGTTCCTCAAGTGGTATTTCTACTTATAAGTCGTATGAGTACATATTTCTGGCTTTTTTATTAATACAAAAGAGACAACCTAAAAGCCACCAGTGTGATACAGGGGAGGCTGAGCTGTGAAAGCTCATTTGGGCCAATCTTGCGAGTCCAACTTATCTCACAAGTGGTACCTATGAGGAAAGCCTGGAGGAAGAAATGGCAGGAAGTACATTTAATAAAAAGAGTTTTTAATTAAAAACTGAGAATAATCCTGCTGTCAGTCCTTCAAAATGGGCAAGGATTCAGAATGCTCTTTACTGCTGTAGGATAGAATCCAGAAATTTGAAAGCCTATCAGTGTTTCTCGTTGTTCCACCATAGGCCAAGCAAAATCAAGGTGGTGTTATTTTCCCCAGGCGTTTGAGGAAGGAGGTTAGGTGGGCACTAGTGCTGCTGCTGTGCTTTCTTGCAATTATTGTTTTAACCTTGTACATTGTGGGTTGAGGTCTGTGTTTTAGTCCTGCTACTCAGAGTAACTGCTGTGACATGGGTGGCCATATAAGCTATTTAAATAAATACATACATTTATTTTTATTTATTTATTTATTTATTTATTTATTGAAATTTATAGACTGCCCCACTCGCGCAGGACTCCGGGCGGCTAACAATAAAAACACAATATAACTTAACAAGACAAACAATACAGTAACATTCATCCAGGGGTCAGATTCTTTAAACCCCAGGCCTGCCGGAAAAGCCAGGTCTTAAGCAGCTTGCGGAAAACCAACAGGGTGGGAGCGGTCCTAATCTCCGGGGGGAGCTGGTTCCAAGACGTGGGCGCCATCACAGAGAAAGCCCTCCCCCGCGGCCCCGCCAAATGGCATTGCTTGGCTGACGGGACCCGAAGGAGGCCCAGCCTGTGGGATCTAACCGGACGAAGGGAACTATGAGGTAGTAGGCGGTCTCGCAAATAGCCTGGCCCTGAGCCATATAGAGCTTTAAAGGTAATAACCAACACCTTGAATTGGACCCGGAGACCAATAGGCAATCAGTGCAGCTCGCGGAGGATAGGTGTAACATGGATGTACCAAGGAACACCCACTATCACTCACGCGGCTGCATTCTGGACCAACTGTAGTCTCCAAATACTTTTCAAGGGTAGCCCCATGTAGAGCGCATTGCAGTAGTCCAGGCATGAGGTGACAAGGGCGTGAGTGACTGTAAGGAGAGCCTCCCGGTCCAGGTAGGGTCGCAACTGGTGCAAAAGACGAACTTGTGCAAAGATCCTCCAGCCACAGCCGTCAAATGATGTTCCAATTTCAGCTATGGATCAAGGAGGACACCCAAGTTGCAAACCCGCTCCGAAGGGGGTATATTTTCCCCTGCTAGAATCAACACTGGACAGTTAACATGATCTTTGGGAGGCAACATCCAAAGCCACTCGGTCTTGTCAGGATTGAGCCTGAGTCTGTTAACCCCCATCCAGACCCTCACGGCTTCAAGGCAACGGCCCATCACATCAGCTGCTTCACTGAGAGAGCTCAGGGAAGAGATATATAGCTGGGTATCATCAGCATACTGATGAAACCTCACCCCGTGCTGTCTGATGATCTCACCCAGCGGCTTCATGTAAATGTTAAATAGGAGGGGGGAGAGGACCGACCCCTGCAGCACCCCGCATTCAAGGGGCCTCGGGGTTGACCTCTGCCCCCCCACCAGTACAGATTGCAACCAGCCAGAGAGGTAGGAGGAGAACCACCGTAAAACGGTGCCTCCCACTCCCACCCCTCCAAGTCGTCGCAAAAGGATACCATGATCGATGGTATCAAAAGCCGCTGAGAGGTCAAGTAGGACCAAGACAGAGGAATAACCCCTGTCTCGGGCCCGCCAGAGATCATCCATCAGCGCGACCAAAGCAGTTTCTGTGCTGAAGCCGGGCCTGAAGCCAGATTGAAAAGGGTCTAGGTAGCGTCTTTCTCATACTTTCCTCTTTCTAGGGACCAAGTTATCTTTCATGATTCACCATTCCTCCCTCTTGTCTAAGCTCCACATTCTTTCCTATTTGAAAGAAAACTTCTGAAGACGGTTAGAATGAGAGGGGATCCATCTCTAGGCAAAGCAAAGTAATAGTCAATTTTTTCACGATTATTTTCCTCCTTTCCTAACTTCCTCTATCACCAGCCATTCATAAATAGGAGCAAGAGTTGAAAGTTTATATTCTCTCATTCAGCAGAGCACAAGGAATTTGTTTCTGACTCCTGGCACTACAGAAGATGGCCTAATTGCTTCTGCTCTGGAAATGAACAGCTTCCAAGCACCACTAATCACTACTGACATAGATATATGTTGTTATCCAGGTTTCCTTCTACCAATTTTGAAACTCAAGATATCTTGGTTCCCCTGGATCATTGCAGCTGCTGCAATTTATCCACCTTAAAGCCTATATACTGTCAACCTAAACTGAGCTGCCTACTTTAGGTCATCCTTGTGATGCATTTAAAAGAGTGTATTTGAAAATCCTTCAGAAGAATTGTATTGGACGGTACATGAGTACAGTGTTTTTCTGTTAAACATTAAAGCAGCCCATCTTTCTCAAGCTTCACAACCAATCTGAAAAAGATGCTTGGCTTAGGGAATTGGCTCAGTGCAACTTTTACAGAATCAACAGTGGTCCACTCAATCCCATTATTTGAGTTTACATGATATTTAGACAACTACATGTGCTAGCTTGGCACAGCATGCTAGTCTAAAATGCAATGGCAGTTCAATGTGTTGTGGAAATATAGCCAATTACTTTAATCAGGTAATTTCCCTATAGCAGCCTTCTCAAAATGGTGCTATTGAGATTGGTAGCAATGTAATCCTGATAAATTCCAGCATGTTGGGAATATTTTTGCTGCATGTAAATTGGTACATGTGAAAAGGATTTGAATATCTTGATGGATTATAAACTGAAATGAGCCAGCAGTGTGATGCAGTGGGAAAAAAAGCAAATGCAATCCTGTATTCACAATAAAAAGTAATTGTTCCTGCTAATTCTTAACTGGTCAGCCTACAAACAGAATATTATATCCAGTTCTGGGCAATCGCATTTAATAAGGACATTGACAAAATGGAACATGTCCGGAGAAAAGCAACCCAATATAATAAAATGCCTGTAAATTTATGAGGAATGGATAGAAGCATTGGGAATGTTTAGTTTGGAGAACACTGCAGAGAAACACCATAGCTGTCTCTTGAGTATCTGAAGAGCTGTCAGATAGAAGACAGGGTAACATTGTTCGGAGTTGTTCCAGAAGATAGATTAAAAAAAAAAAAAAAAAAAACGGTTTAAACCACTAGAAAGGAGACTGGGGTGAGACATAAAGAAAAAAAGTCTAAACTCTAAACCAAGAACGATTCAACAACGGAACAGATTGCAGCAAGGAAATGAACTCTCCTTCACTGGAAATGCATGAGCAGAGGCTGGATGTTTACTTATTGGTGGATTCCTGCTTTAGGTAGAGGATTCACACTAGATGATCTCCAAGGTCTCTTTTTCCCCTTCCATTATGAGACATGGAAATCGCCAGGGTCCCCCCTTCCCCCACTCCCAGGAAGCAAGATAAAAGCAAGTAAATCTGTTTCTTACAACATCCATCAGCGCTGCTGCCAGACTCAGTAACAGATACATCCAATTATTCTCTGATTCCTTCCCAGTTAAAGGGATATACTTTTGCTTGGATCTGGGAGAAGCAAGGTTGCACCTGTATCATTCCCTTACTTCTAATGTGCCACAGTGAGGAGATTTGTAAACATTCTCAATAGCAGAGCAGCAAGCCACAAGGAGATGTACAATTATTTCCTGCATGGAACAACATATTTTATAACAGACGATGGTAGAGATGTAAGAAACAGTTTGCTGCGGTGGTTAAGGCATCAGGCTAGGAACCAGGAGACTGTTTGAGTTCTAGTCTCATATTGGGCACCAAGCCAGCTGGGTGACCTTGGGTCAGTCACTGTCAGCCCTAGGAAGAACCTGGCAATGGAAAACCATTTCTGAAATCTTGCCAAGAAAATTACAGAAACTAGTTCAGTTGCCAAGAATCAACACTGACTCAAAGGAAAAGAAAAAGGTAAAACTGTAGGGATACTGCATTATAGAGATAGTCCTCACTTAGCAACCTTGAGACAGGCAACCCCATTGCTAAGCTATGTGCTCACTAAGCAAAACATCACATGACCACAGCAACCTTATGTTGGCAGTTCCAGCAGCCCATTTGTGGTTGCTAAGTGCATTGTCACATCACTGCAACTTGCAATCTCCTGCCAGCTTCCCCACTGAATTTCTTTACTGGAAGCTGGCTGGAAGCTTGCAAATGGCTATCATGGGACTGTGGGGTGCTGGGACCATCCAAAGTGCAAGGATGAGTCATAAACCACTGTTTTCAGTGCTGTCATAACTCTGAACAGTCACTAAATGAACGGTTGATAAGTGATGACTACTATACAGAAATTTGCCCAGACTTCTAGATATCCTTTTAGAAGTCTTGGAGCCCACACTCAGCCATCATGCTCTCTGACAGAACGTGGTGAGCGTATTATAGTACATCTGGAGAGTACCTAGCTGATAAAGGGACAAATCTATCGTTGGTTCATGGTTTATCTTAATTATTACCTTGGACATTTCAGTTCTTTGGCATACTTTACAGCCACAGCCAGGGCTTCCCGGAATTCAGCCTGGCGTCCAGGCACTGCTCCTAAACCCATATCACCTTTCTCTTGGTTCCCTGGAAAAAAGGACAGCACAAATTTATCTCCACAGACTGGTAATTCCTTGGTCAACCCACTACTGGAAAAACTGTTCCTTGTGGGGGCAAATTTGTCTGCTTTCCTTCTTATCTGCCACTATTTTGAAGAGAGGGGTAGAAGTGGAGTTTTTAGAAGGCAGATGGTCAGCTAAAGTACTAATTCCAGACCCTTCAAAACGCTTGGAGTATAAATTGTATTGATTCCTGCAATATAACTGGCAGATGTTTCCCAGGTAATGAAGCAAGTAACAATTGTGCTAGTGATTTTTCCACTTTTGCTTAACAACCCTGTGCCTTTAATAGCTGGGTGGCTTCACAAAGAAGGAACGGTAAAGTATTTTCGTTATATGAGATTACAAGGCGAAGAAGACCTCCGATTTTCGCCGGATCAACACGGATGGCACCGGTCTACTACCGCATTTTAAGGAGCCCACTGGGATTTCGGCTGCTGCTAGGCAAGGCAGAGGAAGCGAAAGAGGAGATCGGGGGAAACAGACAAAGAGAAGGCGAAGTCTTCGAAAAGCAATTTAAAAATCCAATTGAGTACCCGGCGGAGTATTGAGTAGGACCACCTCCAACCCGTCCCGTTCTGCAGCCGCGCGCAGCTCTGGGGCGCTGCAGGTGTAGGGGAAGCCCAGCTCAACTGCTCGGAATCCAGCCCGCGAAGCCGCCTCCATGCGCTGAACTAGCGCCGGCTCCTCCTGGAAGAGCCAGGCCAGGTTGGCCGCAAAGCGCAGCGGGGCCATGGCACAGGCGGCGAGGCACCGTCTGAGGCCCAGCGCACACTGCGCCCGGGAGGAGGAGTTTTCGCTGTTCCGGGAAGGAGCAGCCGCAGCTGGGTGGGAATCGCGTGGGGGGGGGGGGGTGGCAGGGTTCCATGCGGGAATCTCAAGGCAGGCTGCTCGGAGCTATGGTTACTTCTCCTTGGCGCAATTGGAGTCCACGCACCACGGCTAATGGAGTCCAAGAGCTTCTTCCTGAGCTGCAAATCGTAGCGACACGGCATTTTCCCTTCCCGGGAAGGAAGAGGGGAAAAAATCGTTATTTAATAAGCAATCTTCACTCTGCATTCCTAAACCAACCTGCGCAGCGATACCCCATCTCACTACGGACCATGTTCACACATGTGAAACTGAATGACAAACGCCTGGACCACAGGAAATTAACCGTTAATTGAGTTGAAGCGTGGGCAAGTCAGCTCTAAATAGGTATTATATAATCCCAGATAAAAGCTAGAATCCCACGGTTGACTGAGGTCATTTAGGCTATTGAATCGGCTTCCCTGCTTATTTCAGAAATTCAGATTGAAGCATCCCGAGTACAGTCAATGCCTGTTTAGCCTCTACTTGAATACAGCGATCACTTCTCGGAATAATTAGCAGCTCTTGTCAGACTATAAAAGGAGGATTTTTTTTTCTGGATTCAATTGATAACTGCCACCTTATACCATCTTAAATCTATTTTTTCCATGTATTGCATTCTGGAAAAATAGATAACAAGAGCTTGACCTCCTTCCACTGACCTCCTTTTAGATGCTTAAAAAGTGCTATTAGACTTCCCTTGCCAGTGACCAGGCAATCTGCCTGGATGTTGTTTAGCCTTGTTGGTCATAGATAATGTGCTCTCATTCAGTCAGAGTTCAAAGCTTATTTACTTTTCCTGCTGCATTTTTGTGCCATTGTTTTCTGAGGACCATTTTTCATGGTCTTTGCATCCACCTGCTTGTTCTGGTTCTCATTTCACTTCATATGTTGCTTCTCCAATGGAGGAGCTGGTCCTGCTTTACAGGGATGCAAATAACTTTTGATGAGTCGAGTCCTAGCATCGTGTGTCGGGGTGAGCTCCCATCATTTGCCTCAGCTTCTGCCAACCTAGCAGTTTGAAAGCATGCTACATGCAGGTAGATAAATAGGTACCATTAGGTGGGAAAATAATGGCCGTTCATGTGGAAGTACAAATCCGACCGATGCTGGATCTGCCCAAATGCAACGCTTGAATGTGAGATGACATCAGTGTTGGGAAAAAAGCGCTAGATGCTGCTGCAGACTGTTATTAGCCATTCTGATATGGAGCTAGTTCACTTCTTGTAGTGCACTTCTGGGTAGCGCATGAACATGAACTGAATGGACTAGCAACCTTAGACAGCCAAACTCTGGCTGTAATAACTCTGTATTAACACTGTAGTCTCCTGATTAAGGTACTATCACCATAGGTAAAATAAAATAAATGTACAGCTTATATGGAAAAAATTCTAAAGTGCTTTATCTTGACTGATTTTCTTACATATCAAAAACCTAACTTTTTAACGGGTGTGCAAGACTTTTTATATCCACTGTATATAAACAGGAAAGATGCAAAACAGAGCAAAATAATAAAAAACAAGGGTTTTTTTTACTATTTTTCAGCTGCATTTATTTCAAAAGCAGATCTCATTGCTCAAAAACAGGCAAATCCTTTAGCAATGAACAGTATTTCATGATTTCATTCAGTGTTGCAGGAACCTCCCTCCACATTTTTAAATATTAATTTTAAAGAATTTAAAATGATCAAAAAATTTCACTCCAAAATTTGCATGACCTGGCTAATTCATGAGATTTTAATATTTAAATTTTAAAATTAGATTTAAAAAAAATGAAGTCCTAATCCCTATGTTTTGACAATTTGACTGTGAAACAGGAAGTATCTGAGATTTATATAGAATTGCCCTCTGTTGCAGTTTTATATCTAAAATCTATAACTATATGCTAAATAACTTTGGAAGGAGAAATGACCAAAACAGCTTTCTCCTGTGCATGTTCATTTGAGAAAAATACACCCTCAGTACAAAAGTAAAGATTGATAAATTTGGGCAGTGTTGGGCTTCAGGGTTAGTGATTATGGTCTAGACCAGCGGTTCTTAACCTTTTTGAAAGAATCGCCCCCTTGAGCCAATGAGGAAATTGTCATCGCCCCCTCCCCCAACATAACCTCTTAATCACAACATAGGAAAAAATTCTTCAATTTATGCAAACACTTTTTTTTGTTTTCTTTAAAATTGTCATCAGGACATATTGATGCAAATAATTTATTTCCAGTCTTTTTCCCATATCTCAACTGTTTGAAAAATTTTGGTGCCACCCGTCACTTTATTCCCAAACTTCATGATACATGTATTTCATTATTATCTTATTTATTCAAGACACTTAAATGTAATGACCACTGAAAACAAAATTCATTTGCAAGAAAGTGAAATGCCCGAAAAGAAAAACAGTAACATTTAATGATTGAATTACATGGAACGCACACTTCATGGTATTCCTGAGGTCTGTCCCTACTTCGGTGATGTCCTCATTGCTGGGGAGTCATCTCTAAACTTAGCTGAGAGATTAAGGACTGTCTTGCTTCATTTCCGCCAAGTGGGTCTGAAACTGAAGCAAGAAAAGTGTAAGATTGGAGTCACTTCCACTGAATTCTTAGGTTTCAGAATTGATGCTCAAGGCATCCATCCTGCTGAAGAAGCTTCAAGCGATTCAGCAGGCCCCAAGCTCCAAGTCCAAACGCGAGCTGCAAGCTTTCTTGGGGCTCTTAAATTTCTATCACGCATTTCTTCCACACAAGGCTGCAGTGGCAGAGCCGTTACACCGGCTCTTAGATAAACAAGCTCCATGGCAGTGGACTAAAGTCCATAAAAGGAGTTTCAATGAGGTTAAGGCCTTGCTCTCTTCAAATGCTGTATTAGCGCATTTCAGTGAGCAACTGCCTGTGTGCATCGCATGCGATGCACCTTCTTATGGGATGGGAGCAGTACTTAGCCACCTGAAGGCTGATGGGACACAAGTCCCTATAGCATACTATTCAAGGACTCTGTCATCTGCAGAGCGGAATTATGCTCAGATTGACAGAGAAGCCTTGGCCATAGTGGCTGGCATAAAGAAATTCCATGATTTCTTATATGGCTACCACTTCACGGTCTACACAGACATAAGCCTCTGCTGGGTTTGTTTACTACCAACAAACAGACACCACACATTATTTCCTTGCGTATGCTGAAATGGTCAATTTTCCTCTCAGCATATGATTATACACTCATCCACAAATCGGGAAAAGAGATGGGTCACGCAGACAGCCCCAGCAGATTACCTCTCAAACAAATAGAGGCAGATCCTGCTCCTTCTATTAATAATCTTTCCATTCAGGAGTTGCCTGAATCTACCCTCAATGTTAGGGATGTGGCTGCAGAAACTGCCACAGATCACACGCTCTCACGCGTGCTGACATGGGTCTTGTCAGGATGGCCTGACACGTGAACAGATGCTGCATTTCAAAGCTTCTGGCAAAGAAGGCATGAACTGTCTACATTTAAGGGGTGCCTATTATGGGGTAGTAGAGTAGTTATCCCAGCCTCACTGAGGTCTAGAGTCTTTTCTTCTCTGCATGAGGGACATCTGGGCATTGTGCGCATGAAAGCGCTTGCACACAGCTATCTTTGGTGGCTGGGGCTTGATAAAGCTATCAAGGCCCAGGTGCATGGGTGCCAGGTGTGCCAACAATCATGGCCTGAAATGCCTCAGGCCCCTGTACACAGGTGGGAGGAAACACAAACCCCTTGGTCAAGGGTACATTTAGATTATGCTGGGCCCTTTCAGGGGCAATTCTTCCTTATCCTGGTGGATAGCCATTCCAAGTGGCTAGAGATTGTACCTGTCTCCTCCACTACTACTGCCAGGATCATCCAGGTGTTGAGAGGAATCTTTGCTACCCATGGCCTTCCTGATGTCCTCGTTTCTGACAACGGTTCTCAATTTACTTCTTTTGAGTTCCAGGCTTTCCTTCAGGCCAACTTGATCCGGCACGCAACATCAGCTCCTTTTTACCCTTCCACCAACTTTGCGCATCACCAAAGATGCACTCAAAAGAATCACGCACGATAGCTGGCATCAGAGGTTAGCAGATTTTCTTCTTGCACACCGCACTACACCATGCACTGCCACTGGAAAGAGCCCAGCTGAACTCCGCTGGGGTCGCCGCCTCATCACGAAGTTGGACAGACTGCACCCAGACTGGATGGCTTCACAGGTGTCACAGCCATGGGCATCTAGGAGACTTCAGGTGGGCGATCCGGTCTGGGCAAGGAACTATGGTCCTGGACATCTCTGGGTCTCTGCTGTCGTCTGCAAGATCTCGGGGCTGCTCTCATACGAAGTGACCTTGGGAGAGGGCCACGTCCTTCGGCATCATATTGACCAACTGCGCTGGCGGTTGTGCCCCAACATTTCTGCTCCTGGCTCTGCTCTCGGGGGGAGAGAGACCAGGAACAAGCTCATACTTCAGGTCAAAATCCTGGGAATCCATCTTGCAGTGCCTGGGGTTTTCCAGTGGGTGAACAAGGGTCATCCCAGAGTTCAGCAAGTGCTCCAAACAGGAAGTCATCCTGGGGAGTGGCTTGGACATCCGCAAGTGCGCCAAACAGGAATTCTCCTGAGAGGAGGTTTGCCATAGAGGCGGCTCCTGACTCTGGCACCTCGGCCACCTATACGGGGGGCTGGAACTATTGGGGCACAGCTGCAACGCAGGTCACGTCCGAGACTGGTTGCGGGCTTGAGGGACTAAGTTTCCAGGAGCAGTCCATGGTGGAAGGGGAGACCTCCGTTCCACTATTGGGCTTGGGGATTTTCTCCCCTCTAAGGGAACTTGGCTGGAGTCCAGAAGACTCAGCCAGCCCACCGCAATGGGGGTCACCTGTCATTTATGGCATCAAAGTCCTGGTCTATTGAGCCTACCAGACGGGCACCATTAAGTAAAAGTCCTGGTCTGCC